CACCACGACAATGTACCTGCTCACGCAGCCATCTCAGTGCACCAGTTTTTGACAAAAACAGCATGCCTCTTTTGCCCCATGCACCTGACTCATCTGAGCTTACTCCATGTGACTTCTTTTTGTTTCCTCAAAGGCAGAGAAACATGAAAGGACAGCGATTCGATGACGCAGAAGAGGTGAAGAAAAAAAAAATGTAGGGAGGGGCTATCAGGCATCCAAACAGATGAGTTTGAAAAATGTTTCCAAGAATGGAATCAAAGATTTGACAACTGTATTAAGCACAATGGTGAGTACTTTGAAGGTGATAAAGTTGTTTTATTAAAAAATTTTTTAAATACATAGCTTTGAAAAAATAATTCTGGTTATTTGGGTACCCCCTCATAGTCTTATGTTGACTCTATATTCTTTTCATTTATTCAACATTTTTTTTCACTTGTTGGCTTATAAGTATATTATAAGCCAACATTTGAAGAAAACAGACATTTCAGGTGGAAGATATTTTAAACAGTAATTATCCTGATGGTGTAACAGACTACATATTGGTCTGCTAACCTCAAGATCTGCAGTTCAAAACCACTAGCTGCTCCAGGGGAGAAAGATGAGCGTTGTACTTTTGTAAAGAGTTACCATCTCAGAAACCCAGAGACACAGTTCTGCTCTGTCCTCGGAGGTTGCTGTGAGGGCAAACCAGCTCTACGGCAGTAAATTTGGGATTTGGGGTTTGTTTGTTTGTTGTAACTATGAACTAATTCAAGGATAATGGATTTAAAAGGGATATTCAGAGAGCACATGGATAGGAAACTAGGTATCTTCAAAAGTAAATCAAAAGAGAGAAAGAAAACGAGACAGAATGGTTTGGGGCTCACACTAAAACCTAGTTCCAGTTAAAGAACAATTAGTTCTTACATCATAGAGCTGCTTTGGAAGGGAACACAGAGGATATGGGTGCTACAGCAAAGTGTGATGAAGAAATCAGATGGTGCCCGGCTATCAGATAAAATAGTGTCTGGCGTCTTAAAGGCTTGTTTCCAAACAAGCAGCTATCAAATGAGATGCCAACTAGGTCCATATGGAAGAAGCACTCCAACATCAGTGACCCAAGGATTGTAAATCATAGCATCTGAAGCTGGAGGAAGAAATGGTACCAGCGCCTAAACTGTGAGATTCTGGTTTGCGGAAAGCTATGGATGACAGTGGAAGCCCAAGATACACTTGTGAGCTCCACACAGGAAATAAGCCTAAGTGACTCTGTGCTTTCAGTACTGGGAAATAAATCAGTCTCATACAAACTATTAGCAGTGCTATTGCTTTTCCTGAAAAGGCCTAAAATACGTTGGTGTTAATACTACAGAATCAAACATGATTACTAGTTGTAGTCTGTTCTCTGGTGGAGATGAACACTGATAGAAGATCAGAGTCAAGTGTGGCTTTTCATAAGGAAACTAACATAAACTTATTAACTATTTTTGATTGTAAGTTTTCCAACATATCGTTTTCAAAAATGTACTCTCTCTTCCAAAGTTCAATATCAGACTGAATTGATGCTGATATAATACCTGCTAGCATTTTCCAGTTAGTCTATCAAAGCTGTTCTAGTCATAGGCAAATATCTAGCCCACTCTCCAGTCTAAAATAACTCAATGTCAGACTCCAATTAATGAAAACAATTCTTAAAAATTAATTGAAGAAAATTTTTACTTAGGTAATACAAGTACTATTATTTCACACACTATTTGTGCATAAGAAATTAGTAACAGATATCTTAATGAGGTTGAGCCAGACTTAACCACCTTCAATCTAATTACAGAAGTCTGTTTAGCTTAACATAGAGACTGCTCATTCTTCCCTAAGGAACCACTTATGTTTAACAGTTTTATTTTGGTTTTCAATTCTCAGGCAATATCTCTATTCCTTTTAGTTACCTAAAATAAATAAAATCTATTTACATGATTTTTTTGTATCTTTTCCAAAATTTACAATGCTTTCAAGTTTTGCTGTTTGTCCTATGTTAAAATGGCCCTATAGAAAAAAGGAGAGCAGGCAAGGGGGCTTAATTGTAATTATACTTGGATTATGTTTAGCAGTTAAGATTTGACACAAGCTGACACAGAGTTGTTTAAAAGATTATTATTTACATAATTCTAAATCCAGAAGGATAATTTGTAATTATTCAAACTAATCTCTTGCATTTTTTTTCCTACAGGAATCGGAGAGCCAGAGAAGCCGATGTATTGGCCAAAGATCACACATAGAGTAACTGAGCTGAATGGATCTAACGCTTCAAACATCCCAGCAACCTTTGGACTGAACCAAGCCAAACGGGTTGCTGTGGACTCTGCTCTGACCCATAGAAAACGGGTGCATTTCAGTGTAGAAGTACCCTCCCTACAGTGTTCATGGCTGTGCCCTTTTGGAAATAGACTGCCAGGCCTTTCCTGCAATGTGTCTCTGGCATGGATTTAAATCACCAAGCTTTCTGTTAGTAGCCCTTAGCCATTTTTGGCACACAGGGCCTCTGGCCCTTTATTCTAACATAAAGAAACCTTTAAGGATATCTTTTCCAATGAGATAAAACCTATCTGAACACGGTGACTTGCCAAGCCAAAGCAAATCACATTTCACGAACATTTGAAAGTTCTGTGATGTGAGAAGCTTAGGTCTTTTGGATGCACGCTTGCTCAACTGTTTCCACGTGACAGAAAGCTGCCCGAGGCTGTTGCACGTGTTTTGCACCATTTTTTTAGGAAGCAGTTGTCCATACCTGTTGTTCCTGAGGTGAAAATATACAGATAATTTGCTTTCAGCATAGCGGTAGCATGGTGTCTGTGTGGGATCGGCTCCTCAGACGCTGTGCTCAGTTTTTCCTTGAGTGAAATCACACCTTGTGGAACAGAATCGTTCATGCCCCAGACAGTGATATCTTCCGGGAGACTGGACAGGATTTCTTCTACAGTTCCAAGCAAATCTGAAAATTAAAGGTTTGGGGACAAGTAAACAAAACGTTTAAGTCTTACTTAGTTCCTTGTGTATTTGAGATAAAGGCCAGTTGAAACAGGGGGCAAATGTGAATACAATGCTGATTCCCTTCACATGTTTAATGAGTAATGTCACAGTCATTTTATGGTTTTGTTTTAACCTGCTGCAAATGAAATCTGTTTATCGCCTGGTTAAATCAGTGTGAAAAGGTCAAGTAAGAGGGAACTTTGAGAACTCCATTAGCTAGCTTTTATATATATATATTTTCCCCCTATTTTTATTTATTTATTTTACACTCTGTTCTTTATTTACTGACAGGACTAAGGTCTGGATTGAAAATCAGGCTTTAGAGAGAAAGAGGGAGACTTCTCGCACAAAGTCCTTCTGCAGACTAAGGAAAGAGCAGCTGTTATGACCAGGCAGCGGACGCGGACCGCTGCCCCAGACCTCCACGTGAGCAGTCAGGAGGCAGGAGGCAAAACACCGTCTGCCAAGGGGCAGAGGCACAGTAGGGCAGAAGGGAGTTCAAGGGCGAGACTGTTTAAACTCTAGCACCTCGAGGAAGAAATATTAAATAATAAGGCACCCAGAAAACTAAAGAACACAAACAAAACAGAGCATCAACCTCTTTCTGGAGTTATTTGTATAAGGGAGTGAGGCATCATTCTGTCCCCCCAGAGAGACATACCATGATTTATATTCTGGTTTTCAGTTTAATAGGTATACAATTTCATATTTGAATGCTCATGTGCAAGTAAATATGATCCTTTGCATCTAAAGTAGGTATGTTTTTTTTCTTTGTTCTGGTTGTTGTTAAGATAAAACTTTAAAAATAATCACAAGGTTTATTCTGCTTTGAATCCAAATTCAGACTAATGTATTAAATATTTCCCTGGAAACATGACTCATTATCTAATTTTCTCAAAAAGGCACCTTCCAGTCAGTCACTGCTTAGTTCTACTGTAATGTAATACTTGAAACGCGCATGATTTACTTCCTCAAACTCTGTAACTCAAACAGATCTCTGAGAAACAGGCAAACAGTAACTAGGCAGTTTACAAATAAAACCTGCGAGGAGATGACAGTTGACATCTCAAGGTGGGGGGCAAGGGAACTTGATTTGGAACTTTTAATGTTTTATTAAACTGAACTTCTGTGACAAATCAAAATAAAATAAAATGTAAAAGCACAGATAAAATACTTTGGCAAAAAGGAGAAGTGAGAAGCCACAAGGCATACTGGGAAAAGCAAGTCATCAGGAAAATGAAAAGGGCAGACACGAAAATTATATTGATTTTTCCTTTTAGAAACTTTCAGTTACACATTTTATTTTTATGACTCTATAAGGATAGGACATTGAACTGAATCATGTTACTACATTAACTTCGAACCCCTAGTCTCGAATTACAAATTAACAGCCCAGACTTTTATATGGTCCTCACGGTATGGATATCTAAATAGGGAAAATGAGTAAAGAAAATTACAATGTGATTATAAGTGACTCAAATCGTTGTTAGAATCGTAGTTTGGAGAAACGAGTATTAAGGAGAGTGATGATTTTTAAAATGGACAAATGGAAATGATCAGGTTTTTAGAGCCAGGGGAGGTAATTGTAGTAACCCACCGCAATTAACCCCAATGTAACCATACTGTGTTAATTAACCCAAGTGTAGCCACTTTGTAACTATTGTAATTCCTTCTGTAACCACTGTTGTCTGTAACTGCTGACCCGTTGCCCTTTATTGTTGCTGGTAACCCCCCCACCCCATTTCATTTTTATAAGTCCCTATTTTCCGTATATCATGAGGCTACCTGCCCTTGTGCTTTGTTTATTCCACAGTATAAAAACTCCCCTCTTTAAGAATTTGGGGTTGAGGGAGAACTAGGTTCCTGCAGCCTCTTGTCCACCAGCTAATACAGGCTTATTGAAGGTGTGTGTGGGCTAAGTGATCTTGCTCCAGTACTACATAATAATTTCATTTCCTGGATATAAAATTAATTTGGCCTAAGATATTTAGTGGAGCCCTGATAGTGCAGTGGTTACTCATTGGGCTGTAATCCACATGGTGGGCAGTTCGAAACCACCAGCAGCTCGGAGGGAGAAAGACTGGGCTTTCTATTCCTGTAAATGGTTACAGCCTCAGAAAACCACAGGGAGGTCGCTATGAGTCAGCCTTGACTCGATGGCAGTGAAATGACATTTAGAATTCTTAGGAATATTTTTTTTCCTAAGCACATTATTTACATCTCAATAGTAGCAGGAAAGAGTGGGTGACCAGCATGTGGTTGATATTAGGTGCCCTTGCGTCTCTTCTGATACATAGCAACCCCATCCACAACAGACTGAACCAGTGCACAGTCCTGCGCCATTCTCACAATTGCTTCTATGCATGAGCCCATTGTTGCAGCCACTGCGTCAATCTATCTTGTTGAGGACATTCCTCTTCTTCACTGCCCCTCCGCTTTACCAAGCATGATGGTTTCCAGGGACCGGTCTCTCCTGATACCATGTTTCCAAAGTTACCTACTTTGGAGAATGAGGGAAATTGAACTAAGGAAAATCAAAGGTCAAAAAGAAGTGAAAGAGTACTGATTCATTTTGAATCTCTGTTCAAAATAAATGAAGTTTCCAGGTCCTTTAAAAAGTAATAAGTCTAAGACCCCAGATGCTATATCTTTTGATAGCCGAGCACCATCAGCTTTCTTCACCACATTTACTTATGCACACAATTGTCTTCAGTGATCATGTTGGGAAGGTGTACCTCATGGAATGCCAATTTAATGGAGCAAAGTGTTGCATTGAGTAAGTACTTGAGTGGAGGCCCAATGTCCATCTGCTGCCTTAATACTAAACCTATAAATACATGCACGTAGATCTATTTCCCCACCATCCTATATAGATATATTTACATATGTACATGCCTGTATTTAGACTTCTATAAATGCTCTTTGCCTCCTAGTTCTTTCCTCTACTTCCTTTTACTTTCCTCTTGTCCCACTATCATGCTCAGCCTTCATTTGGGTTTCAGTAATTTCTCTCGGTTATATTGTCCTTGCTGAATCCCTACCAAGCCTCAAACACTCTCCTTGCCACTAATTTTGGATCACGTGTTCCTCCCTTGTCCCTGTGTTGGTCAACACCACCTCCTTACTGCCACCTGCCCCTCTGCCATGTCCCCCCAGAACCATCGGTCCCATTGTTTGCTCCTCCAGACTGTTCACCCAGCCTCTCTTTATCTAGATAGATCTGAAGAGATAATAATATGCACCAAAAAACAAGGTATAGCAAGAAAAAGTGACAAAAGAGAACACAATGATGACAATAACAAAGAAAACCAATGACCAAGAAAAGAATAAATTAATTAAAAAAAAATAATAGACAAAAAGGAAAAATAAACACCCATAAATAGATCAAAGTCTGATTTTTGACCTCTAGGCATGTCCTCAAGTCAAGTCCGATGGGGTGCCATGCTCTCGCCCCAAAGTCTATCCTTTGCACTCCCTCGGGAGCTCCCTACTGTGCCTCCCCCATTGCTCTGCTGAATGCCCTTAGTGTTTTGCCTCAGTGTGGTGGGGTCAGACCAGGCCAATCTTGGTCTTGCAGGTAAACAAGCAGCCATCTAGCTCAGAAGCAACAAAGCCCACATGGAAGAAGCACACCAGTCTGTGTGACCACGAGGTGTAGAAGGGACCAGATATCAGACATCAAAGAACAAAAAAATCATATCAGTGTGTGCCCACCTTCCCTATATGATCACTGAATACAAATGGCTGCATAAGCAAATGTAATGAAGAAAGCTAATGGTGCCCAGCTATCAAAAGATATAGCATTTGGGATCTTAAAGGCTTGAAGATAAACAAGCGGCCATCTAGCTCAGAAGCAACAAAGCCCACATGGAAGAAGCACACCAGCCTGTGTGATCACGA